AGATAAAGACTTGCTGGTTACTCGTTTTAAGGTTGAAGAATTTAGAACAACAGCATTTCAGATGCATCCCAATAAAGCTGCTGGTCCTAATGGGTTAATACCATGTTTTTTCCAAAAGATGTGATATGTGGTGGGTGTTGATGTCTTTCAAAGTTGTCAACAATGGCTCCAGACTGGTACGTTTCCTTCTCATTAAATGATACTATTATTATCTTAATTCCAAAATTAGCTAGCCCTGAAACTGTCAAAGATCTTAGACCCATTTCGCTCTGTAATATTTTATATAAAATCTTGGCCGAGGTCTTAGCTAACAGGCTGAAGGTGTTATTAGGGAAGGTTATCTCAGATTTTAAATATGCTTTTATACTAGGTAGATTGATCACAAATAATGTGTTATTGGCTTTTAAACTCATTCATTCCATGAAAAGGAAAGTGTCGGGGAAGGAAGGTACTGTTGCTTTTAAGATAGACATTAGCAAAGCCTGTGATAGGGTGGATTGAGGGTATCTTAAGGCTATCATGCTTAAAATGGGTTTTTGTTTGAGGTGGGTTGACTGGGTTATGTTGTGTGTGCCCACATTCAGGTATAAGGTTGCTCTCAATGGCTCTGAGGTTGGCCCTATTGTTCCTGCTAGGGGTTTACGGCAAGGGGACCCTTTATCTCTTTACCTTTTCATTCTGTTTGCTGAGGGGTTATTCGCAATGATTCATAAAGCAGAGCTAAGGGGTGATTTACATGGGTGTTGTGACATCCTACCGAGTTGAGTCTTTGCATTGAGTCGAGTCTTGCATTGAGTTGAGTCGAGTTGAACCAAACCTGGTTGGGGTAGAAAGTAGAAGAGATTGAGTGGACTTATTTGCATTAGAAAGAGATTAGAAGTGGACTTATTTGCAAATAAAGGTTAGGACTTGTTTGCATTAAAATATACAGCTTGGGTATTAAGTTGTAGCCTTTGTACACTTGAGGTGCCAATTAGAGAGGTTATACAGCCAAGTCATTTCATCTAGAGACTACCCGTTCTTATCAACTCACTTTCCCATTTTCACGTTTCTCCTTCTCTTCTTACTTGTCCCGCCCATTTTCTTTCAATTGTCAACATAGTGAAGCATTAAGTCCACTCCAAGTAAGTAGAATTCCTTGAAGTGTGATGTTATTTCCTATTTCATTTAGTTCTATTGGAGATGAGTTATGAGAATTCTTGTGTATAGGAGAGGAAAGTTCAAAAGTTGCAGAAAAGAGAAGCTGAAACAGAGTTCAAGCTTTTGACGTCAAGGTTTGATATCTCATGTTGTTTACTACTTTCTTTGCATGTAAATTGTGTAGTGTGTTGCCAATGAGATGATATGTTGCTTGTTGTTGGGTGGAAGTACTGGAAATGATGTGAAAACAGGGGATGAATATATGAAGCGGAAACAAAGTTTGCTGGAAATGTTACCAGCAACTTCATCTTGATTTTGAACCCATATAATGATGGAATTAGGAATTGTCATAGAGTCATAGAAGAGTTATTTGTTCCTCTATGTGTTAGCTTTGCATGGGTTTTTGAATCACCCAAATTGGATTTGTATATTGAGAGATATGATCAAAAGAGTCCAGACTGCGCAGGCTGGAAACGCGTCATGGGTTTTTGAATCACCCAAATTGGATTTGTATATTGAGAGATATGACCAAAAGAGTGCAGACTGCGCAGGCTGGAAACGCGTCGCGACCTGGCACTACGTAGGCTGGAAGCACGTCGCGTGCTCGCGACTTTGCACTGCGCGCACGTGACTTCCACTTCAAACTCTCTGACTCTCAATTGGCACATTACGCGCTCGCGACTCTCAAGTGCGCGCTCACGAAGTTGGCCCTTGGCCTGGAAGCGCTCGCGACTTACATTGCGCACTCGCGTAGTTGGCATGAAAACTCACTGTCTCTCATTTGGCACACTACGCGCTCGCGACTTTCAAGTACGCGATCGCGACTTGTGCCTGAGAACACACTGTCTCTTTTCTGCATCTCGCGCTCGCGACTTCCACAGGCGCGCTCGCGACTTGGTTTTTCTTGCATTTTTGGACTTTCTTTTTCTTTCTATTATTGGTATTCTTTTTGCTCAACTTGTATGCATCCAATTCATTTCAAAACAAAAAGACAAATTAGAACATTGTATCAAAACAAATCCAAAGATGCAAATTGATGTGAAATCACATGACTTTATTTATGGAAGTTGAATGAACTATTACTATGATTGTTGTGTTATACATTTTTGACATACCAACCATTATGCCTCCATTTGAGGTTAGGTAGAAAACCATGTCTGATTAAGGCCATGGTCTGCGACATAGGATAGCAGATCTGCCCTCATACAAGATTTGTTACTCCGGATACAGGCCGTTGAGTGGATATGATTATATGGGGCCATAGCCAGCCAAGTATACAGTATTCATCCGTTATTACAGTTTTTCCTTATTCACCTCGGTTCACTATAACCTTATATAACCTTATGGAGCCATACAGATATTTTAACTTGCTACTGCATGAATCATACAGCAAAATAAACAGTAAGAAAGATCATTAAGGTAAAATGAAAGCCGCATGCTATGTGTGATTATATGTGTGTGCTTACATAATGCTTTTTGCTTATATGTGTGCTTATTGTTGTTTTATGTTGAGATATCCACTGAGCTTTATTTGCTCAGCTAGTTACCTGTTTAAATCGCAGGTTTTGAGACTAGTTCGTAGAGGGTCCGTTTACAACTGCTGCCATTCATCTGTAGAAGACTCGGTCTTCAGGGTAGAAACTCATTTTGTTATTCTTTTATGGCATGTACGAGGCACACAGTTGGGCCCAATCCATTTTGTAACTAGTATCATGTCTTGTAAATATTCAGTACATTATTACTATAAGCAATCTCAGCATGATATTAGATTAGATTCATTATACATTATGATTTCAGCTGTCAGTTTTCTTTCAGGTTCAACCAGTTTGTGCGTTCTCGGCTCGATATAAGTTTATTCGGGGTTTACGGGTGCAACCAGTTTGTAGCGTCTCGGCTCGGTTTATTCGGGTTTACGGGTGGACCGAGAAGGGGTGTTACAGGTGTAGGGTAAGAAGACAGGCTCCTAGTATTTCCCACCTCTTCTTTGCTGATGATAGTTTGCTATTTTTTAAGGCCTCCATTTTTGAATGTAGCACTATCAAAAACATCCTAGATAAATATGGAAATGTGTCTGGGCAAGCTATAAACTTTCAAAAACCTGGAATCTTTTTTTATCTCCAACGTCAGGGGGAATATTAGGGATAATATTTGTTCTAGCCTGGGGGTTTATGCTCCTATAGACCATAGCAAGTATCTAGGCCCTCCTTCGTTGGTGGGATGAAATAAGAAAGGGGTGTTTGCTTTTCTCCGGGATAGGCTTTGGAAGTGTTTACATGGTTGGAAAAATAAGTTCTTGTTGAAGGCATGAAAGAAGTTCTTTTAAAAGCTGTGGCACAAGCTATACCTTCTTACTGTATAAGTGTTTTCCTTCTCCAGGTCTCTCTTTGTGATGAGCTACAGAAGATGATGAATTCTTTTTGGTGGGGGGTCTCAAGGGGAAGATAGAAAAGGGATCCATTGGCTTGGTTGGGATCATAAGTGCATGCCTAAATCTCAAGGAGGTATGGGTTTCCGGCATGTTAATCACGTTAATCTAGCTCTTCTTGGTAAACAAGGTTGGCGCATTTTATCCAACGAGTCTTCTCTTTTGTCTTGTATTTACAAAGCAAAATATTTTCCATCAGGGAATTTTCTAGATTTGACTTTTGGGGCCCAATCCTAGCTTTATTTGGAGAAGCATATTGGAGGCTAAGAAATTATTAGATGAGGGTGTTAGATGATGTGTTGGGATGGGGATAGGATTCGGGTGTGGCATGATCCATGGATTCCGTCTTTTGGGGGCTTTCGAGTTCTTTCACCAGTATTGGAGGGCATGTAGGATCTGGTTGTGGCAAATTTAATGTAGGGGAACGCTTGCTTGTGGGATGACATTCTTATTAGGGGGGTTTTTGCTCCCGTTGAAGTGGAGAGTATATTAGCTATTCCGTTGAGTTTGCAGCGGGTTAATGATATGGTTTTATGGCATTGGAATAAACGTGGTCAATTTGATGTGAAGTCAGCCTATAGGTTAGCTATTCCTAGTTTAGTTCAAGAAGAGAGGGGAGAGTGGAAGAAGCTTTGGGGCTTGAAGACTCTGCCAAAAGTAAAGCATTTTCTTTGGCGAGCTACGAGAAATTTACTTCCTACTCGGTCAAGGTTAAATCAGAGAGGAATAGCTGTGTTTGATGCCTGTGATATATGTGGTGCCCCTGAAATGATTTGTCATGTTCTCCTTCATTGTCCAAAGGCGATTCTGCGTATCCAGAAAATTTCCATGCAAATCCCTACTGTGGTTGATGATGATCTTTTGAGTTGGCTGGGTTTGTTAGCTGGTTTGGTGGATGAGGTAGAACGGTTACGTGAATGGAATAGACGATTATACTCCGTCAGGAGTTGTGATCGATGAAATTTTATCTAACGAATAAAATAGAGAACTAAGCTCTCAAAGATGTTATTGATACGAATAATGATCAAAGATAATGAATACCGTCAATAATACAAAGTAACATATTTATAGGTTTAGGCTAAAAGTTATAAAACCCTAAAAATAATAAAACCCTAAAAATAACACAAAATTCATAAATAAACTAAACCCAATTGAGGGAGGCGGCACGGGCGTGCCGTAGATTCTTAGAGGCTAGCACAGGGCGTGCTTGGCATGACATGGGCGTGCGGGAACTTGATTCTTCATAGTCTCGTCAGCACAGACGTGCTTGACATGGCATGGGCGTGCCTCTGTTTCTTGGTCTTGGGCGTGTCTATCATCCTGGATTTTTAGAGTCTGGCACAAGCATTTTGAGATAGCACGGCCGTGCTCCTTCTTCTTGGATTTGCAATGATCCAAGTTTTCCATATACTTAAGTGCCAGTTACTTCGCATCAATGGATAAGACGTTGGTGGAGGATTTAGTAGTGTTGTTATGGTTCCTATGGTATAATAGGAACCTCTTGGTCTGGAAAGGGACCAATAATTCTCCAAATATTATTGTTGCTCAGGCTGGTCGTTTTTTTCAGGACTGGCGTACTGCTCAGATTGCACATACTCCTTCCCCCTGCAGTAGTTGCCCTGTGCTGCACAGAAGTTGGACTCCACCATGTCCTGGTTCCTTAAAACTTAATGTGGATGCATCTGTGTTTGCTGACTTGAATTGTACAGGATTTGGTGCTCTGCTGCGTGACTCCAGGGGTAGATTTATAGTGGCTGTCACAGGGACTGTGGCTGGCAATCGCACTCCTCGTATGGCAGAAGCTATTGGACTAAGAGAGGTTTTATCTTGGCTTAAAACACAGCAGTTTGGGTCGGTGGTCGTTGAATTGGACGCGCACGAAGTTTGTCATGTTTTATCTGATAATGCTGGAGATTGTTCAGAGTTTGGGTTAGTAGTTAGTGATTGTAAATTTTTAGGAGTAGAGGCTAATGTTAGCTCCTTCTATTGGGTAAGAAGACGAGTTAATACTGTTGCTCACAGTTTGGCTAGGGTGGCGTATTTACATACTGGTCTTCATATTTGGAATTCTCTTCCAAGTCAGGTCTTTGATATTGTTACTACTGAAATGATTCATTAATAATATTCCTTTTTCAAAAAAAAAAAAAAAGTAGGAAATCGGAGGATATAGGAAAATATCAATTTGATAAATTAGGCTGACTTGGTTAAAATTTTATTTTTCCATCCATTTCAACTTGCCATATCAGCTGTCTTATTAACCTTCCAGTCATAGTCATTTTTGTATTATAAGCATAGAGAATGAGACAATTTTAAGTGAGAAAATTAAGATGAGAGACCATAAAGTAATAACTCCGTAAATTAACGACAGGTGAAAATAAACCACTAATTTCCAAAGTATATATAAACATTATAACATTCCAAATTATATATTGACATCTTCTATAGTATAAATATATATATCTTTATAGTATTATTCTTATAAGATTTTGATTAAAGACTTCAAAAAATTCAACTTATTTAAATCCTCATGATTGTAGCTGAGTTCAACAATGGCAGCCTTTGAAGTATATATCCTAATTGTATTTGCATTTTAACAAAAAAAAAAAAAAAAAAAAAAAATAGCTCGAGTTCAACAATTGACAGGCCTTTGAAGTATATATCCTAAATTGTATTTAGCATTTTAACAAAAAAAAAAAAAAAAAAAAAATTCATCAAGTTTTCTGTCATTACAATCTCTACTTCACCAAAAAAAAAAAAAAAAAAAAAAAAATTCATACGTTTTCTGTCATTACAATCTCTACTTCACCTGATTTGATTGGTTATGTAAAGAAAAGAAAAAGAGAGAGAGAGTAATCTATACATATAAGTCATGTTTGAATGAATTAAATACATCAGAATGATACAGAATAGGCCATGCGGTGTTGAAATTTGTATACTCGACAAATTTGTAAACATATTATTTTGTATAACAGTCAAGATTTTAAACAAGGTTACCTAATTTTAATAATAAGTGTTTATTTTATTAGTATTTGAAGCAGACAATAAACGTATTCTTATATCATTAAGTTGATTAATTTCTTAATTCCTATTAATCTTCCAGTTATTATTTAAAATTAGTAGGTACTTAATCTTCTAATTACGTGAAGAAGAAATAGGACTAATCAGTAGGTACTTATATGGTTGAAATGAAATGAAATGAAATCAATATTGGCAACTTAATTTGTATCTTTTAATTCAATCTTTTTCTGCAATTACTTTTATTTCAATGCTTGTGATTATTTATTTTCAATTCAACTTGACCTCACCATTTTCTTTATTTACAAGTGGAGAAAGAGAGAATGAGTTTTGGGTTAGCATACCTATTTTTATGCTCGGACCAGATGAATATCAAATAAAATTTTTGTAAAATTCATATGAAGATGTAATTCATTTTCAATCGATTAGCTAGCTAGTTCGTACCCTTATATGCTTTTTGTGGATTTGTTATTTAATCGATGTGAGTTTTTGAACATTAAGAATAAATAAATGACAATAGCCAATAAGATTTAACTTGTTGACGTGGTCGTTCCATTTTGATGTAGAAAAATATAGGATCTTACAATTTTAAAGTCTTGGTCTTGCTTAGTGTTTCTATACCTGTTAGCTTAAATTAATTCCACCAAACACTATTATATCCATAGATTTGTCGACTCCACCATTGCATCTTCGAACTCACTCACTAAAAAGATGCTTTCCTAGTTTTGGACTTCCAAAAACATTCAAACATGGAAATTTCTGTTTTTCTGTTCTTTTATAATGACAAGTTGACAACATAATAAATAGTACTGTTCTTCTTTTTATTTAAATGGACTAGCTTTATCATAATATTTTTTTGTACACCTTCTTACTAATTTTAATTTACTCCATCTCTTTAATAAAATAAAAAGAAAAATTACAAACCGTTTAGTATAATTGCAATGAAACAATATCATTAGACTGTTGGATCAGCGGATGTGAACTATATTATCGTGTGATTTTTTCTATAAGATTAGAGAGACTAAAAATAAATTAAAATCACTACTGTTGAAAGGATTTTTATCTGAATATTACTTTATTCGAGAAAAACATTGCTATTGAAGAGAAAATAAAATTGCAATGTGATGGTAGTAGATGCTTTAAGGACATGTATATGCATATTTGTTTAATTGTTATGCATAACAAATAAAAAGAGGGAAATTGTGAGTCAAGTGAGCGAGTCAGCCATGGAGAGCTTGAAGAGGGAAATCAAAGAAGAAACGTGAATGCGCAGAAAAGAAAAATGGAATTAAAAAATAAGTAGTCAAGGTTGGAGAGTAAAATTAATTAATTAATTAATTAATATTCGTTTCAAAAAGGGACCGGCACTGTCAAAAGTCAACTTGAGATTTAATTAAATAAATTGTATATTTTTTGAATTTTTAGTTATATAGCGTGAGAATATAAATAAATATATTCATCTTAAATATTATTATTTTATCTCATTTAGATTTAGAAGGTAGTTAGTGATAAAGTATCTGAAACTAATGACTGATTTAGGAGGATAAGACAGTCGCACAGAACTTCCTTTTTATTCTGCCCCAAACTCTATTCTCTTCCATTTTATATATTAAATTCATAAGAAGCAAATTAAATCGTAAATTCATAAATTTATCACAATAGCGATCGCAATTAGGGGTGAGCAATTCTCAATTTGTAACCGATAATCAAACTAAACAGACTCATTTTAGTCAAATTCAGATAGTTATTTGAAAAATTCAATTATCGATATTGTTTGAATATATAAAATTATTTATTTTTCGGTTATCATATATAATCCAAAATAGATAATTTGATTTAAAATAATTAAATTCAAATCAAATCAAGTCGATTTGGATCAATGTTTATGCAATTTGATTCCAAATTCATTTACCATATAAATATATTTTAATAGAATGAAACCGAACTAATTTAATTTGATTAGCTGAATACTGACCCCTAATCATAAAATTGAGTATGGAAGTAAATATCTCAATCATGACTTTAAACATAATTGTAATCATAATCGCCTGTCGTCCAATAAAAATTAATCTCATTCAACCCTTAAACAGAAAAAAAAAAAAAATCATGAAAAAGACCATCAAGTTGGGTCCTCTAATGGTAACAACACATTTTTCTACGTATTAAATTTATTGAATCAAATTTTTTCTTCATAAAATCTTAAACAATGTTTATCTTGTTTAGAGTCAATGCATGATCCTAGTTTAATTTCTCGTATCAAAAATATCAGAATTCAGAAAAATTGTAAACTACCAATAAACACCGGCACTGACACTCTGACCCTATACACCTGAATTGATAGTGATGCCTATCTTGGACCGTCGATCATGTCCTAATTTACAGCTGACAATCATCGAACTGTAGGCTTGCAAGCAGACAATAAACATTGCATGTAAAGCGCGACCCACACTTTGCGTCAACTGTAAACTTCTCAGTTTTGAAAGTTGCGTACTTGAGCCAATTTATCGCGAGATGGACTAAAAAGAAAAGAATAACTAAATAGCAAATATTTGATAATAAATTAGAAAAAAACAACAATTGGTAAAGTTGTAAACTTTTTATAGACTACGTTTGGCCAGGAACGAAACAAAATATAAAGATAATAATTTTTTTTTCTTTACATTTTTATATGTTGAAAGGAAATAATAAATTATAAATTTATTCACTTGAAAAACAAAGACAACAAATAAGTGTGAACTTATAATTTCAATTATTTTCTTCCTATTTTTTTTCTCAAATTCAGGGGAAAAAAAAATACATCTAAACTCCATAATTTACTTTCCTTACAATTATTTATTTCCGTCCAAACAATTGATTCTTCAATTGTCTTTTGTAGCGTGAACTTTAAGGTGTCGATGTCAACTGTCCATATATATTATTTCCGTCCCAACATTGATCTCATGTCTTTGTAGCGTGAACTTTAAGGTGTCGATTGTGTCAACTGTCCATATAATTATATATATATATTATATATATTAATTTACTTAGAGTTAGTTGCCTATTTGTATCGAAAAAAGGTTCCTACCCAAAAAACAAAAAACAAAAAAAAAAAAAAAAAAAAAAAAAAAAAAGTGAACCTCTCTCAAAAAAAAAAAAAAAAAAAAAGTGAAAATTTCTTAGGGATAAAGCTTTAACTTGCATCTTGGGAGCAATATTTAATTTATACAAAAATTAATTTTTTATACTCTTAAAATTGTACCAAAATAACAAAACACCCAATTAAAAATATTATTTTAATATTTTTAACTAATAAAAATTATTTAAAACTTTAAAATTAAGAAAAATATTATTTAAAGACATAACAATAATTATATAAAAAAATAGTAGTCTTATCTTTGATATAAAAAATAACTAAACTAAATATTTGATTTAAAAAATTATAGAATTAGAAAATATTTGATCATATGAATATTTTGTTTAAAAAATTTTATTATTTTTATATTTAATTATTTCTTAATTGTATTGATCTAAATAAAATATTTAGTTATTTTTTAATTATATTTTAATTTAAATTAAAATCTTTTGAGTAATAAATTGGATTTTTTTATTCTTTTGGTGCAAGTTTAGGGGGGTGTAAATTGTATAAAAAATTTATTTTTGACAAACTGAATATTATTACTAAATTCAAAAGGCAAATTCAACTTTATTTCAATCCCTAATTATATATATTTTAGGAACGCATTATATAGTAATATATGTATGTATATATATACAAGCAAAACATGTGTACATGCATACATTGAATAAGGAATTTCGGAATTGGTGTGGCAAATAAAATGAAGGTGATAATTAAAGCAAAGTATGTTGATTAGGAAAGATTAAGGAATGATTGGATGATGGATAAGACACGTAGGTATCAAATACGGCCGGCTTAATCGGTAGTTTGGTATATTCCATGTACGTAAAAGACAAATTTAACGTTCCCATGCATAAATAAAAGAATCATGTCCACCCGTTTTTCAGTTTCCACACCTACAATACATCTCCAAAACCAAATTAAGAAACTTAAATAATTTGTTTGGACATTCCTATATAAGAATAATACTGATAATAAGTTAATAACAA